CTGTGGGGCTCGGGGTGTGAGGCCCGGGGTGCGCTGTGGGGCCCGGGGTGCGCTGTGGGGCCCGGGGTGCGCTGTGGGGCCCGGGGTGCGCTGTGGGGCTCGGGGTGCGCTGTGAGGCTCGGGGTGCGCTGTGGGGCTCGGGGCTGGAAAGACCAGCGTTCTGAGACGTTTGGTCCATGTGGCTGCATTCAGGAAGCAAGGTTCTGCTCGGACGTATTTACTCTCAGGTTCCTGGGCTGAAACTCCAGGCCGCAGTGGGTCCAGTATCCCCCCGGCCTGCAGAGGAAGGGCAGACGGAACCCCTTCGGTCTGCATCAGCAGGGAAGGAAATGCAGAGAAGCCGCAAGTCGCTCTCTCATTGTTAAAATGCAGAGATGAAAGGAAATCTGATCAGAAAGGCCCGAAACATAGTTTTAAATAACTAATCAGTCTCCGTGGGCTTTAAGGTAGCCGCACAGCCCCACCTTTTATCTTGATCTTAAAAGCATGCACCCCCCCCCAGGATACCACCCCAGGTGCTGTGTTAAGCCAGCAGTAATGCCCAATGACTTTAATGAGGTTTCCAAGTAATGGTTTGTCTTGTAAAGAGCTCCCCCCGGTGGCCTGCTCTGTTAACTGCAGTTGTCAGTTTTTCTCTCAAGGACAGTCTGCCATTGGGACAAGACTCAGTGAATCGTGACTGGGAATGAATTATTGACAGTGTTATAGTTTGCTTTTTGAATGCATTTTTGTGTAACTTTACTGATTTGTGCATCTGCGATATAAACATTTTGTAACTTTGTTGTAGTGAATCAAAAGATCAAAAAATCCTTTCAGGGATTTTCCTAGCTGTAGGCATAGAGCCGTCGTCTTCACCAGGATTAGAGAGCCTGCTGTCAAAAGCGTATTTGTAAGTTACTGCCTCACCTGGCTTTAATAGTCTGTGATTTTTGTATTTGCTTTTCTTCTGTGGGTCAGCTTTTCCAGACTAGGCTCTGTGCTGTCACTCAACTAAACCTGAACGTCCGTCTGATTCTTTTCTCCTGCTATCTTGTGTGGACTGTGGCCTGTCAATCAAACGGCGCCAATGCTTAACAGATGTACGGTAAATTGATTTCAGTGGCTTGTTAGACAGCAGCCTGGAGGCGCCACTGCGATGCTTGCATTCCACACCAGTTGGCTCTCCTTTATTGGGGACCTAATTTTCCAGCCTTGATCATGGGGGGGGAGTGTGTAGAAGGTGTAGCTCAGTAGATACAAATTTAAACTAAATTCAACCGATAAAAGCATAACAAAAAATAAAAGCAAACCCCCAGTGATGCTCTTGATCCATCTTACAACACAGAGCAGTGTTCGCTCTTTTAAAAGAGTATCCAGGTGTGTGCTGGTTGAGAAGCACGTTTTCGGAAATCTCTTCCCTGATCAGCGGTTCGCACTAAGTGTTGCAGGATGGACTGACTGCGCAGCTCCTGGGTGAGATTCGTTGTCACTGAGATACTAAAACAATCCAATTTTTTTCCCCAGAATCCACACTAACCTTTCTAACCATCGGGATGTGTAAGATCAAATCGAATATTTCATTTTCGTGAGCGTCGGCAACCTTCCTCAGCCCTGTGCGATTTAACAGCTGATATATTGTGTTCAACATCATTAACACTGCTGCTGGGAGAGTTGGGCACATCTGTTTGGCTACCCCACTGGGTTAGATTACAAGGGTGATTTTACTTGTCTGCTTTGCAGACAATCCTAGCTGAACAGTAACTCCCTCCAGGGCTAACAGAATGGGACTGGGCAGATCTTGGATTCCACTTGGCTTCTGGATTGTGCTGAATAGTTCTTCCAAGGCATAATCAGTTTTAGCTTTTCAGCAACCAGTTAAGAACAGCCAGTTGAGCAATTAGGGTTTGTCATTTGCAACTAGTCTGTGGTTTCAGTCTATTTCATTATGAAATAGACCCGGCCTGCTTTGTGATTCCTGTCTCTTGTTCTCTGGAGACGCAGTGTTAGAAGGCGGTGGAAAGGGGTTGCCTCTCTGAGCCTCTGGAAGCTGGGAAATCCAGGCACTTTTACCCGAGCTAGAGACCCCCCAGCTGTGACAGGTGGAGGTCCCTTCCAGGGGTGTAGCTGTGCTGTGATCCTGACAAGGAATAAGTGCCTTTCTCTCTGCACAGAAACACTGAGTGTCATACTGCTGGAGAACAGTGGAGACGGGGCCGGTCCCGAGCTGGAGCCTGTGGAAACGGCCTCAGCAGGGAAGGGCACCTGGCTTGTGTCTGCGTGGCTCAGGGGCTCCCCCGGGTGGAGGGAGGAGGCGATGCAGGCAGACTGGCGTGTCTCGAAAGTGCAGCCAGGGTGGTGCTCTGCCCAGTGGGGTGGTGAAACACAGCCTGACCCCAGAGCAGGTCACTCTCTCCCCTGCTGACCGTGCTCTGTGCTTCACTGCCCTGCAGGTCAAAAAAGCTGGCAGCCCCCAGGCCGAAGGAACCGGAGGAGACCAGCCACGGCTGGAACCTGTACTTGATCAGCACTGTTCCCGCTGTGCAGCTGTACAGAGAGATGGTAGGGATACACAGCTTACTGAGCACACGAAGAGCTACACCAACAGCGCATCTCACTGCAGAGCCAGGCTTTATCATCAGTCTACCAGGATGAACAACACGGATGTGAAAAGCCCAGAAATTTGGCAAGATGCAGGGATGGGAACAGGGAAGTTAGGAATCTGGGTACACTTCTTGTAGTCGCAGGAGAGTTTGATCACGCATTCTGAGACAAATCTGGAAAGACTGCATAAGCTCTGGACAAGTTAAAGGTCCAGTCTAACTTAACTGGAGTAGACCCTGAATACTACCACGGCCCTGCGTCACCGCATCTCCCTGGCCGTAAGATTTTAATGTCAGTAGGACCTCCAGGAAAGGTGAAGGTGAAAGAAGTGAATTATGGGATGCCCTACAGTGAGAATCTGGTGTGCTCTGGCGTGGGAGCGTGGCAGCCGAGCGGTGACCTGGTGTGCTCTTGTCCAGGTGGAGTACAGTAAGAAGCACGAGTCGGCCAACCTGCATTCCCAGAGCTCTCTGCACCTGCTGAGCGAGGCCCACCTGTTGCTCCGGGCGGCACTGCTGGACCCCACTGCGTCTGGGCCTGTGGACAAAGAGGAGCTGCAAGCTGCTTTCCAGGAGAGCTGCGCCCTGCTAGGAGACTGTTACAGCAGGTGGGGCACCAGCAGAGCTGTGTGTTGCTAAGAGACTGTTACAGCAGGTGGGGCACCAGCAAAGCTCTGTGCTGCTAGGAGACTGTTACAGCAGGTGGAGCACCAGCAGAGCTGTGTGCTGCTGGCAGACTCTTGCAGCAGGTGGGGCACCAACAGAGCTCTGTGTTGCTAAGAGACAGTTACACAGGTGGGACACCAGCAGAGCTGTGTGCTGCTGGGAGATGGTTGCAGCAGGTGGGGATCCTTCTAGCTCTTCTGCATTTTCAGGCCTGTTCTTGTGAGGGTGTGTAGATGATGGAGAGGGGGTGGATAGTACCACACATGGATATTTGGGTTCCCCGTTCTGGGTGCCACACGAGCAAGCCGAGTTAACAGTGTCTCTTGTCTTCGAGGTTTCACAAGAGGGACTCTCATCTCGCCCTGCCCTACTACAAGATGTCTGGCCTGTCCATGACCGAGATCATCAACAGAAACCTGGAGTTTCCACGGAGCAGCGAAAGCTTTGGAAAAGGCTTCCTGTTCTTTCTGAAGCACGCGCTTGACGAGGAGACGACGGAGGAGCTGAGCACAGTAAGCGAGAATCGCGACTGTGTGTAGTGCTACACTAAGTCAGACACACAGGGGATACCAGCAGTTTCACAGAACCATCCTCGTGCATCTCTGATTTTCCCTGAGCAAATTTCAAAACTCCTGTCGCACTGTGAAACGTAGCTCAGGTGCTTTCCAAGCATCACCTGTCTGAAAAGCACAATTCAGCTGCGGCAGTGTAACAGAAGGTCTGAAAATGAAAAATGACTAATTAGGAGGGTGGTTTACAGTACAGACATTGAGCAAGACCAGGGTTCACGGTCCACAGTGTAGTGCTGTTCAAAGCTAAAACTTCCTCTAGTGATTTCCTGCTAATCACTACCTACTACATAGTAGTAACTACTAAGTACTTGATACCCACGATGCTCCACTTCCCTATTATAGATCTGAAATAAAATGGAATTCTTTCTTTCTTCAAGGAATTGTGGTCCATGTGGGTCCTAATGCCCCAGTATAGTGACGGGGACACTATACTGTAAAAAGGTGCCGTCCTTCCGATGAGACGTAAAACCGAGTTCCTGACTCTCTGTGGTCATTAACAGTCCCAGGGAGTTTCTCGAAAAGAGTAGGGGTGTTACCCTGGAGTCCTGGCCAAATTTCCCATTGTCCTTTACCAATCATGGCCTCCTAATAATCCTCATCTCTGAACATCACTCTGCTCTCCTCCCCACTGAGAGCTGGTGTGTGGGGAGAGCACTGGTGCACTGTGGCTGCCGTCGCATCGTCCAGGTGATTACCTGGATTTCCCTCTAAAGCTCTTTGAGTGGAGTGTCCAGAAGAGAGCTATTTAAGTGCAAGGAATTATTATTTATTGTTGTTCTTCTGTGCTCTGCTTAAGCAGCGACGCCCCCTTTTCTCCCTGGCGCGCCAGCCTGTGCCTGTCCCTGACAGAAGGGCTGCTTCCCAATCCAAGCCTCTGCTTCCCGGCAGGAGACTGCCGACAAGGTGCTGGAGGTCCTCGGCGCGGCCGAGCCCTCCCAGCTGCCCCACGCGGTGTGCAGCCCGGCCATGAGGAACGCCAGCGCCGCCGGCGCCTTCGCCCTGCTGGACCGGCTGGAGGCGGCCGTGCCCTCCGTGGCCGTGTCCCTCTCCAAGGCGGCCGTGGCGCTGCGGATGGGCAGCCTGCAGCAGTACAAGCAGCACATGGACCGCCATGCAGAGGTAGGGGGCGGGGCGGGGGCGGGGCGAGGGCGGGCAGGCTGGGACAGGGGGAGGGGTCTCGTCAGAATGCACACAGCATGGTACCCAGCCTGTCCAAGGGTCGTCCTCGATTGGGTTTGCATCGTCTGTCGCCCTATAGCCAGTGTACAGGCGTACTGGGAGCGAGCCGCCAAGTTTAAACACCAGCTGAGAAAGGGCAGGTCTAGCACAGCTAGTAAGACCTACCCTGCATGGCCCTGGGAGGTGGGAGAGTACCTGGCGAGGGCCTATCTGAGCACGGGGAGAACATGCAGACTCCACCAATGCAGAAAGTCACCCTGAGCGGAGCTGAGCTGTAACCCAGGGCCCCAGACTCGTGAGGCAGGAGGGTTCCCGGCCCTGGTACAGGAGGACCCCACATCTGCTGGGTTCTGTTCTGGGTTCAGCCAAGCTCTCAGTTACACTACTGGACCCTCAACTGGCTTAAGAGTCAAACTAATTTTGATCAGTTTCTGCTCAAAATCTTGGAATTTTCTGTTCCTTTTCAAATGCAATGGTTCACTGGCACTTCCCCCCAGCATGTTTTAAGAGCTGAAAACCATGCAGCACCTCGTTAGGCGCAGGAGGCTTCAGTGCGGTAGTGAAGGGCAGCCGGTCTGTGGCCCGGGCCCAGCGGAGCCCCCCACTGGAGTACGGCTCGTCTCCCGCTAGATGCTGCAGGTGTACGGATTCCTGGAGGAGCCGAGGCTGCTGCTGCTGCGGCGCGCCGGGGGGGCCGTGGCGCCGACCGAGCTGGCGCTCTGGCTGAGGGACACGCAGGAGGGGCTGCTGGTGGCGGCCGCCGTGGCGCTGCACGAGAACGGCAAGGTGAAGCTGGAGGAGGCCGACGCGTTCTTCCAGGTGCGTCCCCCCCCCCCGTCCTGCTTCCCGGCGGCGCCCGGCAGGGCTAGTGCCACTCCGGTACGGGGTGGTGATGGCAGCGTAGCGCCAGCAGGCCCCTGCACTGCTGTTCAAGCGTATGGAGGCCCACCTGAGAACACGCAGACTCCCCACAGATAGTCACCTTAAACTGGACTCTCGCCCAGTGCCCTGGAGCCGTGAGGCTGAAGGGTTCCCAGCCCTGGTTAACAGCGCAGTGAATGTTTCCGCCGTTTCCTTCGCTTTCAGTCTTCATGTGCTTTCAGTGCCTGTTGGGGCTTGCCACACACGTGTGGGAGATTGCAAACGTCCTGAGTGTATGGTGTGCTGGTGCGAGGATGGCCTACAGTAGATGTGAAGGGGTAATTGGTGTATCTGTTGAACTTGAGAAATGGTCAAATGTGAGGTTGGATGTCGGATCGTCGAGGACTGGGGCAGTAAGGGGCCGTGGCTCAGGGGAGGACAGTTTCAGGTGGCTGACCGCTGGGTCCGTCTCTCCTGGTGGCCGTTAAGGAGCTGTGCAAGGAGAGCAGGAACGAGGAGAGCGGGCCGCAGCTCCTGGTGGACTTCTGGGAAGCCCTGGTGGTGGCGTCAGCCCAGGAAGCAGTGATTCAGGACCTCCTGTTCAGGCTGGCCTCGGTGTACATCGACCGCGTCGCCAGGAGGGAAAGGTGCAGCACCAAGCCCCTGAAGACCGCCGAGGACCTGGTGAGCAGCTGCAGGGCCGCGCGCCGTTGCGTTGCGTGTGTCACGAAAAAACGAAACCCCGTTTTATGCCCCTCCTCCCCTCCCCTTTTCATTCCTGCAGATCAGTTCCTGTCCCCACTACGGCTTGCTTTTCCCATGGGTGAGCATCGTCGCACCGGCCCGGTTCGACATCGCCCACGACTACCAGGAAGACCTGCAGAAGTTACAGGCGAGTCTTGAGGACGGGTGTCGCTGCGGCCTGTTTGTGCCCGGCGTGGTCTCGATCTTGTGCTTTGAGCTCCTCTCTGAAACCTTTCCCCTCTCGACTGGCCCCTGCAGTCTCTGCTGTGCGGCCCCTCCCTGGGCGGCTCCTCTGTGTTGCCCCTGCTGGAGCAGCTCTCCGACGGCGAGGGCGCCGGGCTCAGCGTGCACCTGCTCTGCGCCACCAAGCTGGGCCAGCACGAGAGCTGCATCGACAAGCTCCTGGACAGCTGCCCAGAGGCCATCGTGGCCTACGCCCACCAGGAACTGCAGAGCGAGAAAACGGTTCGTATTGATCACGGCGCGCAGGGCCAGCAGGAACATTCTCGCCCAGAGTTCCAGTACCTTACTGAGCCTGGCCGCACCCAAACGACTGGAGTGTTATCTGGAAATAAGGAAAAGATTTGCCCTGTATCCCATGTAGGCCCAGTGCAAGGAAGAGGGTCTGTATAATTCATTTACACCAGTCCGGTGGCAGTAATCTATTCACACAGGGGAAAAAAAAGAAAGTTGCGTTCTCAGTTCTGTTTGATGCACATTAACGGCTTAATTGCATTCTTCAGTTAAGTCAATTAAGTGGGAGAAATTCTCATGCTTGCTGGAGTGTTATCTTGGAAATGAGGCAAACATACTCTCTGTATTCCCTGGAGGCTGAGTGCTGGGAAGAGGATCTGTATAATTCATTTATAGCACTGTGGAGGTGGTAGTCTTCGCACAGGGAGAAAAAAAAAAATTATATTTGATGCACCCAGCCACCAAATCAACTTAATTGAATCCTTCAGTTAAGTGAGTTACATACAGTAGGAGGAATTCACATGCTTGCTAGAGCTCTGCTCATTGATGGGTGAAGGTAACAGAGTTCCACACTGGACAGTCCTGAATTGTGCTCCCCTCTTGTAGGTGCTCTGGTGGCAGAAGCTCCTGCCCGAGCTGTGCCGGAGAAGCAGGTCCTGTGGGGCTGCAGGCGCGGTGTTGCTGTCTGCGCTGAGAGGTCAGGCTGGCTCCGTTTCTGCACGAGCAGGCGTGACATTTACACCTGCCTGCGGTACGCTGCGCTGCGCTGAACACGTGTCCCTCCGCAACAGGGGAATCTCATTTCAGCTCCTCCTTGTCTTGAACAGAGACGCTGCAGGTGGTGTCCAGGGAGCTGGGCCCACTGGAGTTCCTCCAGGTGCTGCCCAGCGACGGCTCAGCGGAGTTCTTCCTGCCCTACCTGCTTGAGTGCAGCCAGAGGGGCTCGGCCGCGTGAGGCTGGCACTGTCCCCGGGCTGGAGGAGAGGGCAGACGGCACGCCATCTTCTGAATCCTCACTGGGCTTCGCCTTCAGTGTTGACGTGGTGAACTCTCCGCAGACCCACTGAAAACGGGCCCCGGATTATGACTGTGAAATGTGGCTGGCTTTGAACTCCTATGCCGTTACGAGCTGCGGGTTTTTCTTTTTTCTCCTCCTTGCCGAGTGACGTTCCAGCTTCTTCTTCGGGGCTTGAAAGCACGGTGTCCTGCGCCTTTCCTTCAGTGGGTCCATACAGGCCTGTCCTGTAACTCGACGTACCTGGAGTGGGCTGAACAGTTTGTATTTGAGCCACCAGAGGGCAGTGCAGGGAAGTGGCAGCTGGCTTGTGGAATCTAGACAAAGTTATCTGAACAAGGTAATCCAGCCAGCGTCTTGTTTAAAGAGGCAGGAGTTACCCATAACGGATGAATGTTGATTTCCCCAGGAGCACTTAACTCATAGAAGGAATCAGTAACAAATATATCAGAGAGATTGTTTTCTATTTGTGCAGCTATGTTTTTTTTTTTTTAAACCTGATGGGTGTGTTAAGGTAGGGAATCCGTGAGTCTTAATCCAGGCAATGCAGTCCAAGAGCAGGTGTTGAGAATACATGATGTGTGCATTCTGAGTACAGTTACTTAACTAGATCATATGAGATTTACATTAACGTGTGATGGGCTTTGTACAAAGACCTTAATGTGAAGAGAAATCGTATCTGTTTTTAAAACAGAAGTCTTACAATTCCTGGGGGGGTCTGCTGTAGTTTGGTTTTTATTCCATCTGAGCTTTAATTGTTCACAGTAATTAGCAGCATAACTGTAACACTTCTAACCTGTATGCAGTTTGTTAAGTGAAAGATTTGAGTAATCACTAGTAAAAAATACTATTTATATCTTAAGAAAATCCAGTAATTAGGTTAATTGTTTAATCGACTGCTCGTGTTAGAACAAAGACCCAGACAGGGACAGCTGGCCTTCCACCGCTTGAGTGAGACTGCTGGTTTAAGACCTGTGGCCAGCACACAAGCTGCAGCTGTAGAGCCTCCGGGGCAGGAACAGAGACCCGTCCAGCACGCCACTTTCCAGCATCTGGTTCCTCCTGAGCCACCCTGTCCTCTGCCAGCCTGTGCCCATGCCTGCTGCCCACCAGGAAGAGTGCCCACTTTAAACACGAGTGCCAATCAGCTTCTGCAGCGGCGTTACAAAGGACTTTCATAACGGAGGCCTTTCTGGGTAGGAATAAGATACTGCTCACCGTAACACGAAAGTGCACTTCAGTAGTCCAGAAATGTTAAAAGTAATACATTTTAATACAGTGACCACAGCAACATCGGGGATTTACAGTGGGGATTTGAATCCTAAATGTTTCTTTAGCAAGTCCTTCATGCCTTGCAGGGGACCGCGGGGCTCTGCAAATCAAAAAGAGTGTTATTAATCCTCTGTGAAGCTGGAGCGTACAATAATTACAGCATAAAAAAGCACAACTGTCCATTAAACACAGATTGATAAGGCGATATGATGACGTATACTGTATTATTTTTTTTACATTTCATCGCCAGTTTTGTTTTTTTCATGGCCACCCCACGCGGATTGGAGCAGCAAGTTGTTTTTCTGATCTTGGCTTGCAGCTACAACCCCACAACCGCACACAGGGAGCTTAGGAAACACAGCAGAACTCTTCTGCACCCGAGTCTCCCATCCTGCAGCGGCAGCGCTGACTGGAGGAGAACCGGGTCCCTCACTGACCGCACCACAAGCCTGCAAGTGCCCTGGAGTCCACAGGGGGCGCTGTATCACAGATTGTACTCAGCCAACTGTGCGGCACCACTTGGGGAATCTCAGTTACAGTCGGCTATTGACATTACCCAGGCTTGAACCCACAGTCAGGCAGTTCAACCTGCGCCCCGGCACCTTTACCAGTTGAGCCAGTGGGGAGGTAATGTGATTTTAGCACTAATGCACGAATACAACCTGTGAAACCACTGCAGAGCCTGATGAACGTTTCTACCACACCCACACTCCCAAACTAAAGCCCAAGGAGAGTCCCCCCCCCATCCCTGCTTCCTCTCTCACCCCCCTTCTCCAGCACGGTGTAGGTGGCCTCCATGCCCGCGTGGATGTGATCGGTCACGTGACAGTGGATCAGCCAGGTGCCCAGGTACTCGGGCCTCATCTCCACCGTCTGGAAGGTGGCGGGAAACAGGTCGAAGACGTCCGTGCGGTGGGTGCCGCTCAGCTAGACCCAGAGGGACAGAGCGAGAGTCAAACGCCACGTTTCCCAGACGAGACGGACGACTGGCACAAGTCAGAAGGCAGATTTTAATGAAGGATTAAGAGTCCCACAGTGAGACTCGGTCATGGGCACGGGGCTTTCTGTGCAGAGTAGGAGTTTAGCACATTCTTCTGATTATTTGATTAATTGGAAGATAATACAATACTTCTTTTGAAGGGGCTGGTGCTTAGATGTTGTGATAGGACCAGTACTGGGGCCAGGGATGGGTGGGATCTGTGCTGGACTGGGGCCGGTGTTGTGGTGGGATCTGTGCTGGGCTGGGGCCGGTGTTGTGGTGGGATCTGTGCTGGGCTGGGGCCGGTGTTGAGATGGTACCAGTGCTCTGCCAGGCCAGCCTGTGGCAGCGCAGTTACCTTGTAGTCAAAGCTGTGCCCGTGGAAGTGAACCGTGTGCATGTCCACTTCGTTGCCCATTCCCATCAGGTGCCAGTACACATGGTCTCCCGCGTGCATCGTCAGGCCCTCCACGTTTCCATATATCCTGCCATTCATTGCTGCAAGATACAGGGACGCGTCAGGAAAAACACAAAATTACGAATCCCACTGGACCCTTCGGGAGCTGAAAACTGATTTAATCAATTGTCCCAACTAGCAAACTGAAATCAATCAGCCTGTGATTGAGGTCTCAGCTGCAACAAATCCTAACAGACCAGGATTGGACTGAGCAGTAGTGTGCATGTTAATAAGAGCCCTGGTCTTGATGACACACACCTGCTCAGTTCATTAACAGTTTCATTAAAATAACAAGCTGCTTGATTCGGACCTGTTCTACACTAAGCCAAGAGATTTTAAATTAAGAAATCTGACAGCTGGAAGGCGAGCTCTCTTCAGTTCAGGACCTGAAAGCAATGGGAAATGATCCTATTTCTAGATCGATCAGGCACACGGAGCTGCTCCGCCGACGTACCGTGCATCTTGTTGCTTTCGATGAACTCCTCGTCGTCTTTGCGCGCCTTCGCTGGCTCCTTCACGTAGGTCTTGATGTTCTCATCCAGGTACCAGGACTCGTTCTCGTCGAACACCAGGAAGAGCAGGACGAACTCCTCGATCTGCTTCTTCAGCCCCACCTTCCTCAGGAAGTCCTTCCGGCACACGACGATGGGGCCGATCAGGCCGCTGTACATGTCCTGGAAGGGAGTGACCGCCCAGCGGTCAACAGACTGTGCTTTTCTGGACACCCCACGCAGAGCGCTTTGCCAGTAACTCCCATCCACCAGCGCCAGTGCACAACCCCACCTGGGTGATCATTGGATGAGCCAGTCTGCTCCCCGCACACTACCTCTCAGTGGGGAGGAGAGCAGAGTGGTGAAGCCAGTTCAGAGAGGGGGATCATTAGGAGGCTATGACTGGTAAAGGCTCATGGGAAATTTGGCCAGGACACCGGGGTAAGACCACTTGCAGAGAAAAAGCCTGGGATTGTTAATGGCCCCAGAGAGTCGAGACCTCGGGATCAGTGCCTTTTTACAGTATGGTGTCCCCGTCACTATCCTGAGGCATTAGGACCCACACATACTGCAGGGTGAGCGCCCCCTACTGGCCCCACTAACACCTCTTCCAGCAGCAGCCTTAGTTTTTCCCAGGAGGTCACTCATCCAGGTACTGGCCAGGCTCACACTGCTGAGCTGCAGGGTGATATAACAGCTGGCTAGGAGAAGTGGTTTTGTAAAGTACCTCCTAGTTCAGGGCATGGTTGTCTGTAAGGCAGCGATTCCCGCGGTGCCGTCACCGTGCTGCTGCTTGGGTTACCTTGATGAGGTCCGCTGTGGAGAAGTAGGCTGCGACGCTGCACTCTGCCTCTCCCGGCGCGGGCCCGCCTTTCTTCGGGATGATCCAGGTGTACTCCTGGATCTCACCTGAGACGAGACAGGTCCGCTTTAGCTTTACAGGAAACCCTGTAACCCAGTGAAACACCTCCGCGCAGGACAGGGCTGTGCGAGTCTCAGCTCAGCTTTCTCCCCCCTCGCAGACCCCTGTCCAAGGTGCAGTGGACGAGCCCGGCAGTCTCCCGACCGGGAACTGGCCCTGGGCCTGCTCCAGTCAGATCCAGACCGCGCAGGGCGCGATGGCTGGTCTAGACACGCTGCCTTACCCGGTGCAGTTTCTTTAATCCTGGGACTCTCGGTCTTCACTCCGTGCGCGTGGATGGAAAAATTCCTCCCCGCCATGTTTTTGAACACAATTTTTATCTTGTTGCCAACCTCGGCGTGGATGATAGGACCTTGGGAAAAACAAAAACATTTTTTTTTCATTGTTGCTTCAGTGTTGAAGCCGTGAGAGCAAGGTACAAGGCCAGAGCAGCTGCACTGGGTCTCCACCTCCTGCCCGCGCTCTGAGCAACGTTACGATCTCTGTATCCACACCACTCAAGACGCATTCAGACACACATCAGCATTCTCATACAGCCCAGCTGAACGCTCGGTTATTTCCAGTGGTTTTCAGCCTAGGAGTTCAGCTTCAAAGCTGCTAAGTTACTGTGTTGTCCACCACGGACCCATAAGAAATTGATGCTGGACTATATTCTTCATCATTAGTCATTGCAGACCTTCCTGTCTGTACTGAAGATCTCAACTGCATTACACTCCATGCGTTAACATTTCACATCAGCCGGACACACCGACATAAAAGCAACCTTTCCAACACACACCTAGGATCGCGAGGTGCGTCTCGTCCTCTCCCCTCGTCTTGGGTGTGGTGAAGGTGCTGTCAGTGAATTCCCTGTACAACACCTTCTTGTACTTGGAGCCTATGAACTTGTCCTCCTTGTTAATGAAGGTATTTCCAGGGCTGAGGACAACAAAACACCAAATTGTAGACTGAAACAATGCTCGTCCGAGAGCAATTTTCTCTTAGCGATAACCTGTGCAGTAGGGATTTTTTGTTATAATAAAACGGAAGATTCATATTCCATGTTCTATACCATTTAATTGATACTGGGTCATTTCTTGACCTCTAGAGCTTTCCTGGAATTATGCAGGCGAGACTGCAAGTCTTCCTACGTTTGTTATCGCTCTTCAGCTGAGGAAGCCCCGCAGGGATCGTCGCTGGGAGCGCAGGAGACACCAGGGTCAGGACTTTACAGAGCTGCACTCTGCACTCTGAGCACTGAGCACTGAGCACTGCAGGGACAGGGGTGCTCAGCTTTCACCAGCTGCGCTGCAAGCTCGCAGCCACAGGGAGGCGCTGTTGCACGCCGAACCAAGGACTTCCGGGCTCGCTCGCAGCCCGGGCTGGGGGGGGCCCGGCCCAAACGGTACCTCTCGTCGTGAAACATGTGCCTCTCCTCCTCCCACGTGCGGTTCGGAGAATAGTCCCATTCCGTCTCCACGGCCGCGATGTAGTACGTTTTGTCGTAGAAGAACGTGAGGTCTTTGCCGCTGTTCCACCAGCTGCATTTCTCCACTGTGTATTTCTCCTTCATCCCGCCTCTGTAGTGGTCCGTGGTCCTGCAGACCACGCCGAACTCCCCTGCGCACAGCGCACAACGGACGGTCAGCCGAGACACGGACTCGTACTGCACGCCCGCGACAGCTTTGCATTTGTTTGGTCATGTATTAAAAGAACATACAGTAATTCAACTCCACGACCTGGCGTTTGCACGCTGTCCTAACAGAATATTACCTGGTTGTAATGTTGTAATTCAAGCCTTCAACAAACAGACTAGTCCTATTTCAATGCAATGTTTTCCTGTTTAAATAAAATAATATGCAAGTGTGGAATTTTTCCTCTGCTGTGGGTGAATGTGATCAGAGCAAGGCTTCAAAGAGCTTCTGTAGTTTCATTTAGCTCCTCGACAGTGTGCACAACCTCTGCTCTCTCTGACAGCTGCTGGTGAAGTCCGAGAATGTGCACAATGTTGAAAACACAGCACGTCCATATTCAGAACGGAAAGGGAGAAACATTACCTATGGCATCAGGCTGCATGATGAGAGTCTGAGAAATGTGTGGAAAGAGATTAACAACGTCTCTCCTGGTCCCCTTGGTAATGAAGGTGTTGCCGTTGAAAAATATACCGTGCATGTCGACCTCTGACCCCAGGCCATAGAGGTGCCAGGACACCTTGTCTCCTAAACACATTTTCAGTCCTTTCAGGTTGCCATACATATATCCATTGATTGCTGAATTAAAGAAAGCAAAAAGTTTATCAGAGACATTGGGAGTCATCCATACTACACTTTGTGTAATTAAATGATACTTTCAACAAGAAAGGTTAAACAACAGGGGATCTTCTGTGGCCAGTCCTGTTCTTCTGGATGTGTAGAGATTACTGAACCTGTGAAGACTCACCTTGAAACCTCCTAGTAACCCAACAGCCACGGCATGTCTCTGCAGGTCATTCCACCTCACTATAACCTTCGGTGTGACAAAACTGACTGAATGACTGAGCTTCATTTTCTCCTCTCCCCTGTGTCTCTGGTCTGTAGGACCATGTGAGCTGGCATTGTCTCTCCCTTTTCTAACTGTGCTTCAAATCTCCCTCTCAAGACGTATTTGCTCCAGACTAAGAAGATTAAACTTCTCTCATGTGTCAATACCAAACAACGTATCCTTCAAAACTGTTTTCTTTCTGTTCCATGTAAAAATGTTTGAGTTGCAATCTTTTTAAAATCTTATACATGCAGTTGCACCAATGCATTATATACTTTTAGTACAACTGTCCGAACGCGAACCTGGCTGTGATTACTCGACAGGAATCGGGCAACTTAAAGCTTGTTTTAAAAAACGTCTCTTCCTGGGTATGCCTGGATATGTGCGTTGCGGTGAATGCATACAAGTGTTTACTGGATACGGCTACACCTCAGTGCGCGAGGACTCAGCTGTCTGGTCAGTGGTCAGTCTGATCCAAACTCACAGTGCATCTTGTTGGACTCATCGAAGTCCGCGTCCTCCTTCTGCACCGTGTCAGGAGCTCCGGCAAACATCTTAATGTTCTCATCCAAATACCAGCTCAGGTTCTCGTCAAACACGGTGGCGAGGAGATGGAATTCTTTGTCGATGTTTTTCTGAAAGATTCAAGAGAAGCTGTAAATATACAGGCATCGTTGTGGCTGCACAGGGGGTCGGCTACAGTATGTTAGTCGAGTGTCAAGCTCCTTTCGCCAACTTCCAGGGGTTACTTTCCTGAAAACCAACGCGTTTGGCAAATACCTGAGTGTGAGGGAAAGGTGGGGTTAGTTTCGGACAGCTGCGTTCCATATCTCAACAGCAAACAACTTGTAAATTGCTCCCTTAAAAAACAGCACGTACGCACACGCGAGTTGTAATTAAACATATCGGTGTAAAAACACAGATCAGTAACATTTGATGTAATTTCCCTTAAATTCTGGGATTTCAAAGCAGCGAAGGTGCTGAGCACACTTGAGAGCTCTGAAAGCACGCGCGCGCTTACTGCACGTGGACAAGAGGGAGCTGAGCTATGCGCTGGGTGCTTAAACCTTCCCGCTGGCGGGACCAGGTCTGAGCTCTGGGCCTGTGTGGACCTGGGGGTCTGGATCCCTACCTGTTTGCCTGACTTCAGGGTGTTGCGCTTGCAGACCAGGAGCGGTCCCACCAGCCCGGAGCTGGGGTCTTTCACGGTGTCCACCCCAGAGAAGTAGAGCCAGTTGATGCAGTCGGGGTCATCGGCGGCCGGCCCGCTGTCCAGAGGAACCGTCCACTCGTAGGTCACGTTGGAGCCAGGAAGCACGTGGGCGGCGAAGGAAGGCGTCACGTGACCTGGGAGTGAGACTCATTCCTCACAACACCTTCAACGCTGCACAAACACATTTGCGACTGGCCCAAGGCATTCACACGGCAGAACTACCGGATTTCCACAGTTTCTAGTGGATACCTTTATATATTTTTAAAATATGTCATTATTTACAGGCTGCAGGTCACACTCCAGGCAGACAGCATACCCAAGTGCTGTCTGCGTAGGTTTGCACCCTTCTGCTTAAAACACGCCCCAGTGCACTACAATTTCATTCTCGGTCAAGTGTGAGCAAAACACAGGCTGCATGCTGAAATAGAAAATGAATGTAAGTTTCCTTATTTATGCTGCTTTTCTGTAACCATTTGCTAAAACAAAGCATTGACGCTACATTAAGCACTGCTTATTTCTTACAGCTGGTGTCTGAACAACTGTCAGGTGGTGTTAGTCAGCCAACAGAGGCTCAGTGTTTACTCAAGCCTTCAGAGTGTTCACAGATCAATGCTCTTCCTGCTTGTTTACCTCCAGGAATGGAGTTGTACAAAGTCCCCTCGTTGTCTTTAGTGTACAGCACCCCGTGTGGCTGGATGCTGTAAGGACGGTTGGCGTTGTTCCAGAAAGTCACCCGGATGGTGTCCCCAACTTCAGACCTTATGACGGGACCTGCGAAAGGGACCAGAGTTCAGAGTTCATTCTTAATGAAGGTTTACCAGCACGTGACCTACACTGTATCACAAAAGACTTCCATGGTTTTTATATGGCAGGACTCCTGAAAAAGGAAAGAGATGCAAGCTTCCAGTTGCATCCTTCCTGTGGAAAGTGGACATTTCAGGAGGCATGAGAGACGTGTAAGCATACAACTATACAACCTCCCATTCCAGCCTCTGAGGGCATTGCTAAAAAACACCTTTTTTGCTTAAGCAGGGAAGTGGTACCAGCAATAGAATGCCGGTTAGTTTATCTGCAATTAAAAAGTCTATAATAAGAAGGAGGCTTCTCCCTGACTCAACAACAAAGAATGATTGGACCAATTAAGTAAATCAAATATCTAACGGAAAACATTCTCTTCTTAAATTCAAGGCTAACAACCCTGACCCGTAAAAACCTGATGTTACGGAAACCGCAACAGGATGTTACTGCCCCTGCTGGAAGGCATAACGGGCAAACAGTTATCGACTGAGATACAGAATCAGAAAATATGTTTGCTCCTTTTGTTGTTCTTGTCACACTTCCAAAGTAAAGTGCTTTTCTCCCTCTCTATAGTCACAAAAGATCACACAGCTTCCCTGTTTTAAGAGTCCATCGCTCTTTAATTACAAAACCCGCAAAACTATTTGCAAAAACATAAAGAAAAAACAGATGTCTACGCGTGATATTTATGTGCATTACTGTACTGGGCACATGCGGTCTGTGTCAAACATCTGTGCCATTTGTGTCTGACATGCGGTCTTCCTCTGAAAGAGAGAAGCGTGTGGGTCAGTACCCAGAATTCCCAAGTGCTCTTCCTCGGGGGTCCTCTCCTTGCGCTTTGTGAAGCTGTGGTCTGTGTACTCCACGTAGACTGCCTTCTTGTATTTTCCTCCAATCCTGTCGCTCCCAGTTTCAAAGAAGGGCTCCGAATCTCTGGCGAGACAGAGCTTTGGTCAGCACTGGTTTTACTCTGAACAAAAAAAAAAACGATCCCGCAGAAGTACAGCAAACTAGGGCTGAAATCGTTCGCGTTACACGATTTGTGTGATTAGCAGACCCGTTTATCCACACAGTAAGTGGATGGAAACTTGGATAAACACACAAGTGGCTCTGAAAGTCGAACATGCCCAGGTCTGGGACTATGAAGTGCTGCAGAGCAAAGTGCTGCATCCTGACTGCCAGCAGTCTCCTCTCCTCTGAGAGGTTCAGGCAGGGAGCTGCAGCAGCATGCAGGGGCTGCCAACAAACAAGTACTGGTTTGTTCCAATGCTGAAAGGAAAAGAAAACATTCTGGCTGTGGAGCTTCTTCAGGTGTGAAGGCACCTTCAGGCATGTAAAGAAGGCTCCACAGCCCAAACGCCAGGCCTCCTCTGAGGCCTGAACTGCCCAGATGTCAGAGCGAAACGATTTTTAGGTTGCCGTTTTGGAAATTTCAGATTTAAAACTGAAGAACGGAAGTTGTGGTTTGTTCGGCGCACCTGTCGGATTTTAAGGGGTTTCCTGTGAACTGGTTAATCTGGCTGGGCCCATAATCCCAGATGACCTCTTCGGCCGCGATGTAGTACTGCCGGACTGTTCCTCGGGGTTTGCCAGGGTGGACTTTGGGGAAACAGTTCTTGACTTCAAAAAACGCCTGCATCCCACCTGCGATCGAAAAAGAAATGCTTTTTTTTAAGCGTCACCCCTTCATTTCAGTCCGGAATGATTAATCAAACAACTGGTGTTAAACAGACTCTGGCCGCACGTGACGCACAACGGTCACACTGCCGCCGCTGCACTGCCTGTTGGCCAGGTCTCGCTGGCCGCGAGGATGCCGACTGGCGTTTTCTCCTCCCGCGCGCTGACCTGCTGGGTGCTGCCGGTCAGCTCTAGCCTACTGACACCTCAGCCCTCATGTTACACTCTCAAATGCCAGGCAAGCCATGAGCCAAACAAGGATGTACCGAACAGACCCTGCAGTAATAGTGCCAAAGCAGTTGCGAACTGCTTGAGTTGCCCCTTCTAGCAGGAACCCCTTCCTGGCCCAGCAGCGGCCCAGCGCGGGGAGACGCGGTGTAAGAGGACAGAGGCGCGCCGGGAGGTCCGTCCACTTTACCTTCCATGTGATCGTTGACCTGGCAGCTGAGCAGCCACTTCCCCGGGTTCGCAGGCACCATCTCGGCATTGACGAACGTCGCCGGGAAGAGGCTGACCGTGTCGACGTGGTGTTTCCTCTCCGTCAGGATCTGCCCGTGGAAAAAGGCGGAGTGGACGTCCACCTCGTTGCCCATCCCGAACAGGTGCCAGTGGATCTTGTCCCCCACGCACATCGTCAGGCCCGGCAGGTTCCCATACACGTAGCCGTTGATGGCTGGAAGAAAGGAAATGACAACAATGCAGGGGCCAGCAAGGTCGGGAGAGAGAGATGTTACCTCAACCTGCCACTAGAGGCCACTAAAGGACTCTAGAATCACTGTAAATAAACACACTGGGTGATTATTGTGAATTAATGGAATTATTGGTTTACAGGGCCGTTCTCACATGGGTATGATTAAGAATGGTTGGTATATAAAGTGCCAGTTGGTGTTGTAAATAGCAAACTGTGTTTTTCTTTTGTTGGTCTTCCGATAAAAATAGACTTGTTCAAAAACACTCCAAGTCTCTATGCATTTTTAATGTGCTAAAGTAACATGTTGTATCATCCAAACGAGGACAGTTTTATGAGATGCATCCCAATTTTACTTCACTTTTAATCCAGTGCCCTGCGCTGCAGACTAGTTAAAAAGGCCATTGCCGGGACACTATTTCCCTGAAATGGGACAACGTCAGCAGCTGGAAAGGTGTGTCAGGTACCCACAGTGCATCTTGTTGCTCTCCTGAAAGTCTTCGTCTTCTTTGTCCACTTTGTCGGGAGCAGAGCAGTACGTCTGGATGTTGTCATCCAGGTACCAGCTGAGGTTTTCGTCGGACACCGTGAACAACAGCGCGTAGAGGTATGTGGCCGCGCTGTCGCCGAACACGTCCAGCGTGCCTGAAGGGAAGAGCAGAGCCAGAGGGACTGTGACGGCTGACCGATCTGCTTAAAAACCCTCTGGGAACATCCACACAGTGGACTGAGCGGACCGCAGACCACTCGGTGTGGGGCGTGTGGTAAGGCCAGGGGGTGTGGGAGGGTAAGGGTTAGGGTTATGTGCAGAGAAGAGCAGGGACGCCCCAGGAGCTGCAACTCGGGAACAAATCGGAAAATCGGAAAGGCAGAGACAGACAGAGGGGTATTTAATGAAACACCTTTTTCCATTTGCATTGAAGACGGTATGAGAAATCTGCAGGAAAAGGTCTTTTTCTTAGAGGGGACCACTGAAGGAGAACTTCACTAAGAACGTCACGTTCCACCTTTCGGAGCTGTAATTCCGAGTTTCACCGCTGTTACCTTTTCTGCAGATGATGAGGGGTCCGATGAGGCCGGAGGACACGTCCCTGGGGGCGTCGATGTGCGAGTGGTAGATTCGGGTGAGGCAGTTGGTGTCGTCCTTGGCGGGCGCGTGGGGCGCGGTCATCTCCCACACGTACGTGTAGTTCGCTCCAGGCTGAATGTGGTCGTCCCTTTTGTCCCCGCTGCTGGTGTGGTCAGGGTAAAACGCACCTAAGCAGGAGCCGCAGGAGCAAGAGCAATGAAGGAGTTTCAATCTTTCATTTCAGTCTGGGCTTTATAAAACTCCAGACCTCAAAGCCTGAGCTCCTGGAGGCTTTCTAGGACTTTCTGAACTATGAACTGGCTCATGTCGTGGGGAAGAAAACTGTTAATAAGGCTAGCTGTCGGAACAGCTCCGTGACTTTATCAAAGCATGCGAGGTGCCCTCGGAGCAGGAGAAATGAAAGAAGACAGGTAAGCAGGAACGGAAAAGATGCTTTCAAAGACCGAGGACAAACAGAAAAGACAGACTTCTCATCTCACAGTGAGGAAGCAGTGGGCCCTCATGCCATCTCGTGCGAGGGCACTACTGCAGCCTCTCCGCTGGGATGTGAACCCACACCTGCCCCGCGCCCCGTCCAGGGCCACGCTGGGGAGAGCGGGGCCCGGGCTCGGCCTCCGGCCCGTACCTTCGTTGTCCTTGGTGTACTTCATGCCGTGGGAGTGGAGGGTGTAGGCCCTCGAGGCGAAGTTCTTCAGATGGATGACCACGGTGTCCCCCTCCTCCGCCGCGATGAGGGGCCCCAGGAAGCCCAGCCACTGCGGCTTCTCCACCTCCTCCCTGTAGGTGGCGCTGGTGTACTGCAGGTAAACGGCCTTCTTGTACACGCTGCCGATGCGGTCCTCCCCACGCCGCAGAAACGTGGCAACGTGCCTGAGACACACCACCGAAACATGAACAGGCTTCATTACTCTGCTCTCCTCCCCACTGAGAGCTGGTGTGTGGTGAGCGTTCTGGCGCACTATGGCAGCTGTTGTATCATCCAGGTGGGGCTGCACACTGGTGGGTGTGGAGGGGATCCCCATTACCTGTGAAGCGCTTTGAGTGGAGTGTCCAGAAAAGCGCTATATAAGTGTAAGCAATTATTATTATTTTTATTATTATTATTGATCGACAGATTGACCGACCGACTGGTTGACTGATTCATTGGTCGGTTTTATCATTTCATGCCGGGCCACCTGCTGCTTAAAGCTCAAATGAAGGCAGCCGTGCAGTAATACAAACCACTGATTTTCTATTTTTACCTCCAGCTCCGTACCTGTGCGTAATTAAAAACTTGAATTTCTTAACATTACAAACCTGACCATGAGTCACTCTCTCACATGAACAGGCCGTAGTGCATCTTAATTTAATTTACTTTAACTGAAACAGGCAGGATTATGTCCCGCAGGGTCTTTGTTACATCAGTTTAGTATTATACACACAAGTTGTTTATCATTATTATTCTATTTGCAACTTTCTGTTTTTTTACTTTTCTAATTCCTCTCAGACATCTTCAATAATCGCTTTGTATTTACGATCGCACGTGGCGCTTTAATTTTTTTTAATTCATATTCCAAAAGAAACAAACTCTACATTGCAAAATATAGCGAACAAGAAGCCCGTTTTTAAGAAAATGTTTTTCCTTCCACAATAAACGTATTTTTCACTCCGGTTTCAACAACACTCACCACAAGGCAAAACACCGGCGAAAGATCTGTTGTGCAAGCCGTAGAACAACATTCTTCCCCAAATACTTTTTGTTATCTCTTAGAATTTTTGATTGAAAGAGAGCTACAAATTTAAAAACTACAAACTTGAGGAGTCGACTCTATATAGGTCTATGTAGGGAACGCCCCGTTTGTAACTTTTCGGATAAAATATCTCCACACTCATTTACACCATCCCAAGATTCCCCGAAGAAATGTTGCCCCTACAAATGCCCCCCCAGTCCGACACAGGGGTTACTCAGAGGCCAGTCTTTGCCAGGCGAAAGGTCTGCGCAAACAACCGTGGTCGCTTCGCTGTTGCTCAAAGCCGCGCAATAATACGATTGTCCGACGCGTCGCGTTTCCTTTAGCCTGGTGCGTTGTGCTAACATGCTTTATTAACCCCTGCCCCGCTGGCTGGTTTAAAACGGTGTCAGGCTGGCGCCCGATGAAGTTTGCATCTTAATTATTGTTTCCTCACACAACGGGGCTCATTTCTACACTATTACGTCCTATATCGAAGCTACTGTACGCAGCGACGACAATTTCTATACAACGTGATAACAGGCTCCGAGACTGGAGGAGTCATCACAGTACCTTGTTTAAGGGGAGTTTGTCCTGGCTATGTCGGAGAAGCAGCTCTGAGGCAGTGTGTGTGTGTGTCACAAGCTCAAAGCAGAGCTGAAACCTGTAGCTGGAAGTTTTGCCTTACGAATGAGGTAAAAGGCAGAGCTGTACAGACCCCAGGCACAACCACACCAGAAAGGATTAAGGGTGCTCATTGTAATATGGCACGGCACAACATACCGTTTTACTTTAGAGCTCTGGTGATTTTTATTGTACTAGAACCTCTGACATCTGTCGTAAAATGAGAATACGGTGACTATGGCTTCTGTCACTTCTCGGATTAAAATAAATTCTCCCACTTTTATATGTACACACTGAAGTAAACAACCAAACACGTATGCCATTTACAGTATTTAGTAAGTAATGACCTTTAAATCAATTGTCTAATAATGCCTCTGAAGTTTATTGTAAGAGAGACCAGGAAACCATGTTAAAGAGATTTTTTTTTTTATAAATACGACATGCATACTTACTCATCCTCGTTCAAAGACTGGTTGAGAATCAAATTCATTTTACTTGGTGCATAATCCCACTGTACCTCCTTGATGCCTATAAAGTACTCCCTCTGAACTCCACACACCGCTCCGGTTAAGCAGAGCAGCAGGGACAGAACATTCCCCAAGTAGGTCATTCTGCTGAGTGAAGGAACAAGCCTGGGGTGGCATCCGAGGTGCAGCTCCCACAAGGCATTTATCAGGTCAGCCAGTGACCACTGTGTGCTTCATCCAATCAGAGCCCAGGAGCTGGCCAGGACTCGGCAAACAGAACGCTCCATTCAGCGAGCGCTGAACTGATTTGGAAAGTTTCTGTGTGTGAGAGTTCTTGCAGACTCAGCTTTTTAGGAGACGAAACCGCTGAGATTACTAACCTGGCCAAATGTCAGCAGGCTGAGGACTGTGGTCATTTCCAAAATGATCTAATCGATGGGAAATTAGCAACAGGAGACAGCCTGGTAGGAGACCATTGTATCCGACCTTGGAGTGATTGTGCACGCTATCTCCTTCATTTGCGTTTTGTTATTACTTTCCCTGACCAAGCTCTTTTGTGACCTCTTGGAGAGCCACAGCTGGAATGCTCTTTAGCCTGCTTTTAGAAAGGAGAAGTGTGGAGAGGAAACACAGTGTAAAATGTAATCAGAAGGGCCAGACGAAGAAATCCATTCACCCCATTGGGCTCATTGATTCTCTCTATCTGTATCTAAGTACAGGAGAATTTAGAGCAGCAAATAAGGTCTTTGGGAGCCAGGTGGGAACCTAGAGCACAACATGAATCTGAGGAGAACATGCAAACTCCGCACAGACATGTGGCCCAATCTGGGATCGAACCCATGATCTTGGAGATGTGAGGCAGGAGTCTTCACCTCCAGGTCACCCCCTGTAAATTTAGAAAAAGTTGGCACAACCACTTTATGTTCCTTATTGCCACACGCAGGAGCAGAGTGAGGAAGTTTCCTCCCGGAAGTTTATTCCTGTGAAAGTTTGGTGATATCCTGGTGACCAAAAATTGAAACGAACAATAACAAACGAGTGTGGCATGAGGGCTCAGTGGCTAGCCCTGCTGTCTCCCCACTGCTGGGTTCAATTCTGGACCTTGGGTACTATCTGGACCTTGGGTACTATCAGAGCATATGGAGTTTGTATGCTCTCCCTGTGTTGGCGGGAGTTTCCTCCAGGTGCTCCCATTTTCTCCTACAGTCCAAAAACATACTGGTAGGCTAGTTTCTGGTGTGAGTGTGTGTGTCCTGTGATGGACTGGTGACCTGCCCAGGATGTGTGTGTGTGTGTGTGTGTGTGTGTGTGTGTCTCTTGTGATGGACTGGCGTCCCGCCCAGGATATGTGAGTGTGTGCGTGTGTCCTGTGATGGACTGGTGACCTGTCCAGTATATGTGAGTGTGTGTGTGTCCTGTGATGGACTGGTGTCCTGTCCAGGGTGTGTGAGTGTGTGTGTCCTGTGATGGACTGGTGACCTGTCCAGGTTGTGTGAGTGTGTGTGTGTGTGTCCTGTGATGGACTGGTGACCTGTCCAGGTTGTGTGAGTGTGTGTGTGTGTCCTGTGATGGACTGGTGACCTGTCCAGGGTGTGTGAGTGTGTGTGTATGTCCTGTGATGGACTGGTGACCTGTCCAGGGTGTATGTACCCTGCCTTGTGTCTGTTTCTTGCTGGGATAGACTCTGGCTCCCCTGCAACCCTGAATTGCAAGAAGCAGTTAGAAAATTGCTGTATGGAATAAGAACAGAATGTTTTAAAAACACTGAATGAATTAGCCAGTATTTAGATCACTTCCAAAGACTTTGTGGAGGAAAGTGTCTTCACTTATTGCTGAATAAAATCAGCTGAAAGTTCTAAAAACCTTTGGAAGTTAACACATTTTTACGCTTACCAAAGGTGCTTCTTTAAAAGATCCAAAGCAAGATTATCTCTGGAAAAATTTGAAAAATCTACTTTTTGCTGAAACCGTCACTTGTTACCTACCTACGTCAGGCCAGTCACAAATAAAACCTGTTCAAAAGCACCTTACTGTGAGGGGTCTGAGAATTGTTACTCACACCGGACTTTAACACATCAGAACTGATTGTGCCGAGAACATCAGAACTGATTGTGCCGAGACTGGGCTCAACATTACGGAAAATGCCATCCTGTAAATATTGCACAAGAATGAGAATACAAAGCAAGCCAGTGATGATGCATGACCAGTGATGAAAGCCAGAAGAGCTTCCAGTAATTCACAGGAGGAGGTGTTGCCAGAACACAGGGCTGGGAAGTCCAGAAGACAGGGCTTGCCCACCTGAGATCTAGGCAAATAAAGGAGACGAAGAATGAATTAGTAGCTCAGTTAAAGGCTTGAGTCAACAGGGGGCTTGACTGGCAGGAAGAGAGGAAGACGCTGGAATTCGGGGGCCAGGAAGGAGAAGATACAGAGGCGTTAGATCCAGCACCAGGATTGGGAAACCTGGCTTCGGATCACTGACCCGACGAGCTGAACTCTTGGCTCTGCTTTTCAAACAACAGAGAGAGAGAGAGAGAGAGAGAGAGAGAGAGAGAGCCCCCTCCACTAAGATTAGGTATAAAACGATTTAACTCCAAAGGTCGGTGCTGGAATTTCCACTGCATCTGTGCCCAGCTGATTTCCCCCCATAGCGTCCAGCAGTGTTTGTAGAGGACGCTGCAGTCCAGCCGCGGAGGACAAGGGCTGTAAGTTTCACCCACTCAAGGCTTATTGCATGAGGCAGTCCTCACAGATCCGCAAACCTCTGTGAGATGCTCCTGATGCACAGCTTCGTGACACAGCCCAGACTGCAATCCCTTACCAAGACCAGAGACACTGGGTGGGAGATGCACTTTGTAAACATCTGGAATTGTGGATCAGTCTGTCTGCTGCCATTCATCCTCAATTAAAACTTAAGTTGTAATTTTTAATCTGTGGATTATTAATTATGAACCCGTAGTTTAAAGTCATTAAATGTCCGGGATGAAATGAGACCTTCATTAAAAAAAAAACGTTTATTTAGTGAAGGCAGCAGGAGCATTGTAAAAATAAATGAAGAAAAACATTTATACCTTAAACACATTCTCATGTAATTCATTTGCATTTATATCAAAATAATGGATATTAAAATAATTTACAATATACCGTTGTTCCCTGTTTGTTCTGAAAAGGTGAAAAAGAACTGTAACATAAACCATCTATATATTACTTTACAAAAAATACTGAACAGAAAATAAGCGCATAATCAAATACATGTACAAAATGTTAAACAAAACAGATGCTACACTTGCACACATGCCTGTTACATTTTATAATCTGATGTAAAAGCCCTACCTTCTTAAAAGAACCAGATTAAATTATACTAAATCTCTGCGAACTATAACTGTCCATGTGCTACACCTGACCTTGAAATGCCTCAGTATTCAAGTAGGAGTTACACCAGTCCATGACAATCACGTCTACCATCCTCTCATTAAAATAAATCATTTGCTGCTACACCAGTATTTACACAACACGGCATTTTCCTCTTTCGACAACCTCGTGAGTTTCATTTTATACAGCTCACATCTATGATGTCATCGTTCATTTGGTCATCCGCCCTGATGATCTTGAATTACCATGAGATTTTAGACATGTCAGTGGTGTGCCGTACTGACATCCACATTCCTAGCAGAGAGGCCCCAATCATCTTATTCTGAATCCTTGACTATAACCGTTTAAACATTGTGAGAACTGGTACAGTTCAGACTTTTTGTAACTGGTGCTTCTAAAAAAACTAATTCTGCATGCAACTTGCCTCTACATACTAAGCAGTTCTTGGGGTGCGATAATCAGTCAATTGCTTCACCTGCAAAGCCATAAATGTACACTGAGACCACAGGACAAGACCACAGCGCTGCTCAGGCTCACAAAGGCTATCCTTCGCAAAACTGACTGCTCCTAAACCGCACCTATTGGAAAAACAATATCCTTTGAAATGGCATTTTTTTTTGCATTTGCTGGAAAATAAAATATTAAGGTTTTTTGAGAGGAAAGACAAGATAAAGTCAAATATCCCCAAAAACGTTTTATACACCTTTGTTCAGCTATTACCCGAGGGAGGCTGAGAGGGGAGAGGGACAGAGAACACTGCTGTCAGAACTCAGCCGCCAGCGCGCAGAGCCTGCGTCTTCATGCCTTGTTCATGGCGTACTGCTGTCTGTTGCAGCACGGCCCACAGATGGCGCCAACGAGCCCGTTGATGACCTGCATGGCGCACATGAGGAACTCGATGCCACTGAGCCCCAGGAGGATGGAGAACAGGGAGACATTCCACACTACCACGTTCTTGGGCTTTTCACAGGTGCTCCAGCTGTTGAAGTTTGTCAGATACCTGTTACAGCGCACACACACACACAAAAAGACAAGTTAGCAACGCTTTCTCACTCCGGCACAGAACCTGCTCCTCTTCCACCTGACACTCCTCAGCACCACTTCATACAGTGCTTATACAGTCTGAAGTACAGCACCCGCAGTGGCAATTTGCCTCTCTGTGCCAGCAGCCCCACTGCACAGATAAACAGGCAGAGGAGAGAAAAACTGCTTCACCAACTGAATTAAACGGGGTCTTTAGGGAGGTCAGCTTGGGCAGCCCTGGGTGGGACGTAGTCGTGACACCCATTCTCTTTCGAATAGTGCCACGAGATTTTTAATGACAAAGTACTAAAGGCCTCAGTTAAATTTCTTATCAAAAGGACAGCACCTCCCTTCCCCATACTGAGGTGCTGGTTTGGAAATTCCAGTTCAGAGGGAAAAGCGCCACCTACTGGTCTACCACCAACACTTACAGCAGCAACCCGATTTGCCCCCAAGTTCTCCTACTGCAGTACAGCCCAGGCCCAGCGCTGCTGAGCTTCTGAGATTCAGTGCGATCAGAGCTCAAGGTGGAAATTGTCATTTCCTCTTTTTCACACCTGGGTTCTCTCTTGCAGGAGGATCCCCCCTGGAAAATCCGCACTGAACAATCAGGTTTCGAGAGAGCACTCACACACTGTAAGAAACGGAGCTACAGACAGTACTTACTCTCCAGTTTCATTTTCGAAAGGGTACTTCCAGTTTTGCTGTGTGTAGCAGAGTGGTCCAATTGTCAGGGCGATTGCAGAGACAATAAAGCAGTATGCAGACCCCAGTGCTCCAATCAGAGCCACCAAGATCGAGCCCAGCATCTGAACAAAGAAAAACAGCACTTAGCACGCCTGCCTCACCCAAGCCCCACTTTCTGAGAGCACCCCTGGGAACTCTAGTGGCTGAAGGAATGTGCTGATTGACTGCTTGATTGATTGGTTGACTGATCGATCGATTGATCGATTGATTGAATCTACCAGGTGAGAAGTGAGAAGTGAACACAGCAGGAGATAAGCAGTATGACCAGGTGACACATCACATGGCTTGCTCACATTCTAAAGGTATGGATTTATCTTCTGTTCTTAGTCAATAAAAATATAATTACATTATATAAAGTTATTCTCAGAAACATAAATTAGACTATTATTATTATTATTATTATTATTAGACTATTATTTCAGTTATGCGACTGTGAGCAGAGGATATTGTACCCATCTGCAGCAACACATTCAGCCTAACACATAGAGTTACACAGCGCAGGGAAACTCAGCGTGGAGCAGCTGCAACAAGTGAGGGGCACGTGTTGATTTTAAGACTATTCATCCATCCTTTTACTAATAACCTCAGAAAGAGTTCACCCTCGGCGGGACACAGACACTGAGACACACTCTCACAGCGGGACAGGCTCCACAGAAGCCAATTAACCTCCCCGCCTGTCGATGGACTGCAAGAGGAAACCCTAAAAATGTTATAAGGCTACTTCTAGTTCTTTTCCCAATACCTCGTGTCTAATGTATTCTAAACCCAATGAAGTTCATGAGGGCTCTAATCTCTCCGTCTGTGTTCTCAAAGACGATTTTCCAAACTCATACATCAGAAAGACCACAGAAACCAAAACTATCCTGCAGCTAGGATCACACATTCTCCCTTCTCTTAACGACAGACTACTGTTCTTCTAAATTCTCTCATTCATTGGAGGTTTCATTTCACACCTCTCTACACCCATTCTGACTTCACACATCTTGATTGGCCTCTCAATTTAATTCAATTCAGTTCAAGGTGCTTTATTAGCATGACCGATGGGTACAATCAGTGTTGCCAAAGCAAATTCACATGGAACAAAACAACAAATAAAATCTACAGACATATTGCAGACATTTACAACAAAGACAT